ACAGACTTCCTTGATCCATCAAAATCTTTCACAACTATGCCACTCGGGCACATGGGAGTTCCTTGATACTTCAACTCCATGAGCGTTCTCCTCGGTATGACATTTAAAGCGGACCCATTGTCAATCAACACATTGGACAATGAATCATTCTTATAATTTATGGAGATATGGAGAGCCAAGTTATGATTCTTCCCTTTAGCAGGCAGCTCATCATCATAGAAGCTCGGGTTATTACAGGATATAATATTCCCTACGAAACTGCTGAACTGGTCCAAAGGCATATAACTTTCCACGAAAGCTTGATCTAATACTCTCATCAATGATTCCTTGTGGGCAGAAGAGTTAATTAGCAAGGCTAGAATAGATATATTTGATGACGTCTGCAACAATTGATCTACGATCCTGTAGTGTCTCATCTTAATAATCTTCAATATATCGTCCACATCTTTTTCCAGAGCAGTACCACTAGATTCCCCCACTGCTTTCTTAGGTTCAATATTTTCAACAACCTTTTTATCACCATTAACATTCCCTCGAATGACAGGTGCGAAAACACGGCCACTGCGGGTTACCCGGCTGGCTTCAGCAATATTCTTGACATCAGACAAAGGTTGGATGGGAACTTCCACACCATCCTCCAAGATTGTAGCATTGTATTTGTATGGCACAACTTTGTCTAATTCATAAGGTACAAGCCCTAGTATACAAATCACCACTGGAGAAACAACTGGCTTGCTATGATACTCAATCTCTATAGGGGAGGGAACACTAAAACAAGGCACACTAACATTTACCCCTTCTTCAGAATACTTAGACATCACATAATCATCGCTGGAGAACATATCTTCATTTGAGGAAAACAATTCATCTGCGGAAGAATACTCATCATCCGGCACAGTCTCGGCTGAGCAATCTTCAATCACATTAATCCCATTGTAATCATCTCTATTTACCGAGACTTTGATGGTACCATTATCCAATAAAAACTGAACACCCTTTCTCACTATGGAACAACCACGAGAATCTCTATAACAGATCTGGAAAGACCCATAATGGTGTTCTTCTTTACCATCCGTGTGAATGAAGGTAGCTTTTAAGTGCACCAAATCATCATTCATATGGTTCTTGTCAAAAATATGGAATTCTCCAGGACATCCAAAGACCATATTCACATCCCTTTCGTACTCTACCCTTGGCCTAATTATATGAATGAGGCCTTCGTCCATCATTTCCTGAAGATCAACTTTTATGTCCCTGGACAACCAGCCTTCGTCACATCCCTGGATATATGTATTGTAAATACCACAACCAACATGTTTATGTGTATAGTAACTAAACTCCTAGAGGTCAACATGCATCTTTACCAAATATCCTCTAACCAGGTTGATATCAATAGTCCGGAAGTCCCCTGGATAACCAGCAACCATGTTTACAGCATTTGCTCCTCTATGCTTAGGCAAAGGATTATCTTTCATGTTAGGGCCAACATCTTTAAAGGATAAAAGGCCAGATCTCACCATCTTTTGTACTTCAGATTTCAAAGGATAACAGTTCTCAATATTGTGCCCTAGTGCTCCCTGATGAAAAGCACATGTCTGGTCTGCCTTATAATACCAGGGTAGAGGTGAGGGTATAGTAGGGGAGGCCTGAACCAACTTCTTTTGAATCAAAGATGAAAGTAACTCTGCATAGCTTATTGGAATGGTGTCAAAAGCCCCTCTCTTTTGATTTTTCCCTTGATTTCCCTGAGGGGATGGTCTCTGATAGGAAACAATGGTTGGAGCTACATTGACAACTGGAGTCACAAAAGCAACATGTTGTTGTTACCGTTGATGTCTTCTAGGAGGCCTAATATTTCTTTCCCGAATAAGAACATTCATTTCACTTTCTTTATTTCGAGAGAACTTGTATGACGACTACTTTATCCCTTCATCTTTTATTAAGCGCACTTCTCTAAAAGCCTCTTCCAAACGAACTGCCATTCTCACCATCTCGGTGATGTCACTTGGCGTACTGGCCACAATACTTTCATAATAAAATGATCCAAGGGTTTTCAGGAAGACCTTGGTAATTTATTGTTCTCCCATAGGTGGCACCACCTGGGCAGCTATCTCGCGCCAATGCTGCGCATATTCTTCGAATGACTCCTTATCTCTCTGAGCCATTTCCCTTAACTGGTCACGGTCAGGCGCCATGAACATATTGTACTTATATTGTTTGATAAATGCTTCTTCCATATCGTTGAAGGTACGGATACTACTACTGTCTAGACTCATATACCACTTCAGAGTTGCACCAGTTAAACTGTTTGGGAAGAAATGAATGAGCAAACACTGATCATCAATATGTGTGGACATTTTCCTAATATACATCATGAGGTGGTCATGAGGAAAAGAGTTGACCTTGTACCTCTCAAATTCTATCACTTTAAACTTCTCTAGAACCTTCACATTGGGAACTAGACAGATTTCGCTGACACTTTGTCCAAATAATTCTTTTCCTCGAAGGGCCTTCACTTCCTTCTGCATCTCATTGAACTGGTCTTGAAAGTCATTCAATCGGTCATAGAAACCCACACTTTCACTCAGTGGAGGAATAGATGATAAACTTAATCATTAACAAATGGCATAGCATTCACCGAAGGAGATGCAACATAGTGAATCTCATTTCTAGAAGCAAGAGTAATATGCACCACATGAGGTGCAAGAGTAGAAGCAGATTAAACAATTGGAGCGACTGAAGCATCAAGATTGTACCCTTCTGGCATGAAGTTTTCAAGAATTCCCCATGGGTAACCCTGAGGAATATGGTTTTATGCAGCAGTAGCTGGAATAACATAAACGAGAACTGATGGTCCTTCAGAAGCAAATGTTCTTTGTTGTGGATGAGCAAGTTGTGGCTGAGCAAGTGGTGGCTGATTCTGAGAAGCAACCAACAATTCCATCAAAGTAGTCAGATTGGGCATACCGACCTTCAAAGCAGTAACCTCTTCGTGTAGCTCGCGATTCTCTTGTTCAAGATTCTCCATTCTTCTTCCTGGAATTAGCCTGAGTATTATACCGGTGAGACAGCTTGCTGAATGAAGTCAGAGAAACACATTAAGACACCTGGATATGAACAGAAATTCAAGAAATATGTACAAGATGATGCATGATATGCAATGCGTATGATTTATTTATCGTTAATATTATTTCAAGGAACTCAAAGATTTACAAATAATTTTCAAATACTAAAGTACTAACACATTTTGAAATATTGAAAATCTTATTATAATAACTTGAAATGGATTAAAACTTTTTTAGTACAAGTTTCAACAATCCCAAGTACAAGAGAAGATAGAATCTAAAACCCTAAAAAGGAAAAGCTAATAAAGATCACTCCACACACTAACACTTTCTCGTGAGTCTTGCAATCTGAGCCTTTAACTGCTTGTTCTCTTCTGCATACCTTTCGGCAACCCCTTTCTAATCACCAGAGTCGGGAAATGAATGACTAAGTCTTGATCAAACTTTAGAGGAAAATAAATCCTATTGCTTCCCCATCATATCTATAACACGACTCTCAAGAATCTCAATTAGGTCATCCTTCTATTTCATGTCTTCCCGATAGGATGTATCTAAAGTCTGACACTTGTTCTTCCAAGCCTCTTTCTCCTGCTGCATCCTGACTGAGGAAAGTTGAAGCTCTTCCACATCATCTAAAATGGGAGGAGTGGCCTTCATAAACATATCAGGCATAGGTTCTTCACGGGAATATGGCATCTTTAGTTGAATTTCCCTTGCCTGTACCTACTGGAGATAAGGCTCCAAAGAAACATCTCTTCTAGGCCCCAAGTCCTTTCTACTCTTCCTGTGAATATGGCGCCAAGCCTTTGCATTTTACTCCTTAGCTTCATTATGATCCCCTCCCTCTTTGAGAAAGAAACCACTCAGATGAATACTATTTGGCTTATCTCTCATCAGATATCCAGGCTGACGTCGTGCAAGAACGGGACTGTATATAATTCCTCCCTTTGTACCAAGAAGAGGTACATAGGGGAAACTACCACAACTATCGATAGTCTCCACGTCATGGTAAGCCTGATGATACCAAACAATATCTGAATGAGTGAGGGCCATAATCTTAGGAGCCCAACGAGGTTCCTTCTTAACATCCCAGAAAGCATCGGCCTGAGGTAAGTGAGAAATAAACCACTGATACAACAAAGGCGTGCAACAATGATCATCCCTCCATGATAAGAATCCCAAATATGAATGGATTAATAAGCATTACCTAATAATATGGTGACTGGATTCCCTATTAAAAAAATCTTGATGGCATTGATATCCACAAAGTTGTCGATGTTCTGAAATAAGAACAACCCATAAGCAAGTAGAGCAAATATAGCCTCAAAAGCAACTGTACTCTTCATCCTAGCAAAGTAGAAAGCTTTCTCTAATAAAAATTAAGCGGGTAATCCTATAATTTCTCCTTTGGTAGTCATGTGGGCCTCAACCTCAGACTTCCCCAAATGAACCATAGCAGTTATCTCATGGGGCTTTGGATCTCCCTTCAAACCGATGAAAGGAACACAATCGGTGCTGGGTAAACCCAGTAGGTAAGAATACTCCATCAATGTAGGCATCAAATGATAATCAGGGAAAGTGAAACATCAATACATCGGATCATAGTACTGGACCAAAGTCAAAAGAATACCCTCCTTCATCCTAAGCTTCATGAGAGACACGATGGATCCATACTTCTTCCGAAAATTAGCAGAACTCTCGATCTCGGGAATCAGACTCATCAATTCATCTATCTTAGGATCTTTAAAACTGTACTTTCGAGTTTTTCTTTTTCCAGAATTCGTGGTAAAAATGACCTCAGATATTCGTAAAAAGTCAACTTCAAGTCCCTTGAAATAAATGTTTTAAAGGATACCCATGGGTGCATGAATGCATAATGCAACAATCACACACAAGATCACAAACAAGGGGGTTAATAGGTTTGACGTCACAAGCATGAGGTCAAAGGTACTACCCACAAGGTATGGTCTAACAATTTATCACCTGCCAAACAAGGTTCAAAAAGGTTCCTAGAGTCTACATCCTTACTTCGGATATTACCAATGTCCTGATTGACTCGGTAATTATTAATATTCTCAGGAAATACTCGTGTGAGTGTAGTATCGTGTGACAACCATTTCCGGATTACTCCTTCATAGCTTTCGCACTACACCTAAAAGGTCAAGATGGGTTAAAGGTTCTACGGTCCTCAGTTTTAGCAGGCTCCTAGGTCGAAAGCAATACGTCTTCCCGATTACTCGATAAACGACACTACACTCAAAGGGGCCTCCACTAAGTGGGGGATGTCATGCCTTGTTTTTGGGGTTACTCCCTTAAAGTTAACATGACTATACCGCTCATCCTATCTTAAGTTTGCCCATGTCCGAGTAGAGGACTTATGAGAAATCACCAAGAACCCTGAAAACCAGGAAAATCCAGACAAACACATATACAACATATAATATACAACAAATAATAGAACATACATAAAAAACAAAGATATTCTAAACCCACTTAGAGATGGACCAACATTTGGTCAATCTTACCCCAGTGAAGTCGCCATTTTTTCTTTAACGGTAGAAATGTTGAGACAAAGCCACTAGATTGACTTAACTCGCACAGATCAAATAAAAATCACCAGCGTGCTTTATTGTTTCCAAAGGAATGGGAAAAGAGCTAATAACCCAAAAAGAGGGAGAGAGAATCTATGTTCTGGGGTTGGTTATGCAAAGGGGAGGTATTAGTACCCTTAACATATACGGTACTCCGCAGGAACCTGTTTGAAAATTTGTGTATTTTGACTATAATTGTTGTATACAAAAATAGATTGTGGGGATTTGAAAAGAAGTATTTTTTACAATTATTGCACCCGACGCAGTTACGAACCTTTAGTGCCTACGTACCACTTTCCGTGCAATAGGGAATTAGGATACTCGTAGTTCACCTTTAAAAATTTTAAAAACACAAATGTGTTGGTTTATTTTAAGAGAATAGACATCATCGTCGTATCCGATTGAAATATTTATGTTTAGAATTATATGGAATTTATCGAAACTTTATAGAACATTTTCTGGATTAGAAGTTTCTTGACCACTTTGAATTATGATTCATGACGGTATAATTTCTTCAAATATTATCCTTGTGATTATTCATGTCAGGAACCGTGATTATTTTTCAAGATATCATATCAAATCCATGGATTCAAGTTCTTTCATAATTCAAAATCTGGAAGGAAATTATTGCTTTCATGAGTTTGAAAGTTCCAAGTCAATGTTCAAATTAAAACATCAAGCACATCAATTCTACATAGTACTTGGAAATTAAGATGTTCATCAATTTTCCGTCTTTTATCCAAAGATCACTCTTAAGATTCAAAATCAAGAGATCATGTTCATAATATTCAAAGTGAAATCAAATTCTATAATCCACTTCATGATTCAAAGTTTAAAACTCCAAATTCAAAGCTATTGATTTCAAATTGACAAAGTTCAACATCATTCAAAGGTTCTCATTCAATTTGCAAGACACATAAAAAAAATACAATTTCAAAGTTCCAAGTAACCATTTTTTCATTCATTTGCAAATTATGCAAGTTAATTCCCAAGTAGCATTTAATAAAGTTTCAAGTTACAATCATAAAATAAATTCTTCAAGTTTTTGTGCCTAAAGTATCCATCTTAATGGTCCCTCAAATTCTTCATGCCTTCATTATCAAAGCTCCATCTTCCAATCATCATACTTTCTTCATCAACTAGTGAAAAATAAAACAAGTGTGTGATTAGCCAAAATTTTCAGCAATGCAAAAGAGTTTTAAGAGCCCAATATCATATTGCAGCCCCTACAAAGAGTTACAAAAAAATAACAGCGTGCTGCCCATTTATTCCAGCCTTGTTTCAACAATAACAATCCAATTTTTGTGGCACTTTTGCTATCCAAAAACAGCAGCCTACAACAGTCCTAATGCTGCAAAAAAACTGCTATAAAACAGTATGCTAACAGCATGCTGCCCTGCTCCAACCTGCATAGAAATATCAAGCAGAACAAGACTAAAATAGCACTAAAATGGTAACTCAAAAACTGTATGGAGAAAGTAGCAAAACAGGGCACTCATAACTGTTGAAATGTCTCACATTTCCCCCCTAAAACCCCACATATTGCACTATAAAAGGCCATCTTCATGGACAGAAAAAGGAGGAGAAAAAACAAAAAAAGAGAGAAATTTTGTTCAATAAACACATCCAATAATCAGGGTAACAAGGAGCTTGAGCATCAAGGGAGAACTTACTGTTTTTTGGAAGCTCCATCGGAGGGACTCCGATAGGTATTTCTTCTCCCTATTACTTCCGCATAATTTTATCGTATAAACCAACATTTATTACATTCAATGAAAATGATTTATTTGTGTCAATTCATAATGTAACTCATGTAGCAGTAGTACTGATATTAATATAGGAGTATTAACACTTCACCAAATAGTATAAAGAAAAAAACCGAGAAATTACACAGAAAAAAAACTTCAAACTTACCTCTTTATGTCCCTTCTCTCTATACTTGCTTCAATTTTTTCACCATTTTTTATTCATTGTTTCCTCTCCATTTCAACTTTCGCCGGCATAGTGAACTCTTTTCTGAATTCTCGGAAAATTCACAGCTACACTAGTTTGACGGAGAAAATATCTTACTCTTCTTTACTAATTTTCCAGCAAAATCAATGCGACCCAAATTTTAGAATTGCACTGTTAGATCCTCCCTCGCTGAAAAATCTTATCTTTTATATTATTTCGGCGAACCCAATACTGCCCCTGTTCACAGCAATGGCAAAAGAGTTACTGATTATGCGAAACTGGCACCTAATGCGGAGAAATTACATCCTGGGATATCTTCTAGCATAATTACTGAGTTAACAGACTGCAATGCTGCTCTTTCACAACAAAGGAAAAAGAGACAGATTCCTGCGACTTTGGCTCTTGTTGAGGCTCTAGAGACGTATAGCCATATATCTAGTCACCCCTTTCACAAAGCTAACAAACAAGGAATTATTACTCTTGATATCCTTCATTCTAAGGATACTGTTATTTTTTACTATCCATTAGGACAAATATTGGTTACACTCAGCGGCCACTTTAAAAAGGTTACAAGTTTGAAGTTTGTAGGTCATAAAGAATCTGAAATACCAGGTTCCAAGTCGACATATATATTAAGAATAGAACCTTAGTCTGTCAAAATTGTAAGAAATGCTTTATAGCTTTTGGTATAACTCCACAAACCACCATCATCATCCATTAAAACCCCCCACAACAACAGTCACCTTCCTGTTTACCTCACAATACTCCCATGTTCACGCTACGTTACACCCCACAACTTTCAACCATCTCAATTCTCTTCTCCTTTAACCAACCTTCACCGCCAAAAATCATCAAAAACACCTTTGTATCTCCATCTCGCCACATCAAAAACCTTCATCCACTCTCCACTTCTTTACATGGCGGCGAAAACTTAGTCAAAGGAGGTTTATTACAAAAGCAGAAAACCCTAATAGTAACACTTCAAGGAAACTCAAAAGTCAGTAGTTCATTTTATTTCCGAGGAGGACGGGAACTGGTTTGGTTTGAAGGACGGTGATATAATGGATGTCGAAGCGGAACATGATTCAGCTGAAAAATAAGAGATGTTGGAGAAAGAAGAGTTTGAGGCAAGGAAATAGAGAGCGAAAGCAATTATAGATTTGAGGGAAACTCAAGAAGATAGAAGGAATGAAGAGCATAGAGATTGAATTTTATTGGTAATAATAATCAATTTTGTATTGTTTCCTTCCCAATAACAACAACAACGACGCTTCTTTCTCTTTTAGGGTTCCAAAAATATTCCTTGTCCTCTTGCCAAACTGGGTCAGCCCAATGGGCCTGTTTTCCCAATCTTTATCAATATTCCCCTTATATTTTAATTAGAACATAAACATAACAGATAAACAAACATAGTTCAGAGGCAAGGCATGTCTACTGCAACCTAAGGGACCCGAGTTCAACCCCTTGCTGGGGCATTTTTATTTCGTTTTTGTTAGTTCTTTAGCCTTATTTCCCAAATTTTTATTAAAATATATATGATAACAAAATATTAGTTTTAGTTTATTATATATATAATTACTTCTCGCAATTATAAAATACAAAAATATGCTTATAAATCAGTCTCTTATTTTATTTTTGTTATTTTATTTAATTGTTCAAAATATATGCTAATATAAATTAATCTTCTATTGTAATTTTAATTAACTTTGTTCTCAATCATTTAATCTTTATATCTTTCACTCGTCTAAATTCCAAGGGAAATGCTTTAACTTTTTTAACTTCATGTCATCAAATACATCTTATCCCATTGTGTGAATCCCTTCATTCATTTTTGTTTTACTATTTTTGTAAATCTTAAGTTAATTTTCCTAAAAGACTCAATTTCAAAACTCACACCTTTTAAGTCAAAACTTCGACACTAGGTCGTCGTATCTTCAAAATCTCATTCACACCCATTTTAACCAAACAAACCATTTTAATCAAATAAATAATTCTAATCAAAAACATATATTTTAAAAGGTTCCTGCGGAGTACCACAGATGCATTGGGTGCTAGTACCTTCCCATTGTATAACCAACCCCTGAACCTTCGACCTCTTTCCAAAACACATTGTATTTTTATTACTTTTAAGTATTACTTTACATTGCATATTTAAGGGTTTTATTTCGCTCTTTTCCCTTTCCCTTGGAAATAATAAAGCGTGGTGGCGACTCTTGATTTTTTTAGTCGAGTTAATTAATAGCTGATCTTCAATTTACACCGCTACATTTTTAATCGCTACAGAAATTTTGACTCTACTGGGGACAGATAAACCTCTTGCTGGTCCATCCTTAATTGGGTTAAGCCTAATTTGTCATATCTGTTTTTATTTGCTTTTTTGTTTGATTATATGTTATATATTTTGGTTATTTGGGTGTTGATGTTACTTAGAAAGGACAAGTCCTATACCCGGACTAAGTTACACTTAAGAATAGGACGGGTGGTATAGTCATGTTAACTTTGAAGGAGTAATCCCGAAGAAGGAGACATAAAATCCCCCACTCAGTGGAGGCCCCTTTGACTGTAGTATTCGTTTACCGAGTAATCGGGAAGATTTTGATGCTTTTGACTTGGGAGCCAGAGAAGTTGAGAATCGTAGAACCCTTAACCTATCTCGGCCTCTTAGGTGTAGTGCAGAGACTATGACAGAGTAATCCGGAAGTAGTTATCATGCGATGCTGCACTCAGACGAGTTTCTCTTGAGAATATTTCTAATTACTGAGTAATCGGGACGTTGGTAATATCCGAAAGAGGATCGTAAACTCTGGGAACTTTTAGAACCTTGTATTACAAGTGTGATTAAACCTTTAGTACATACCTTGGGGGCGGTATTTACCTTTGACTCCATGCTCGTAGTGTTGAACCTTTGAACCCCATGTTTGTGAGCTTATGTGTAATTGTTTCATTATCATTCATTCATGCACCCATAAGCATTATTTAAACATTTTTTCAAGGAACTTAAGAATGATTTTTGCAGACATCTCAGGTACTTTTACCATGGATTTTGGAAAAAGGAACACTCGGAGTTACAGTTTCAAGGATCCTGAGATTAAGGAGTTGAAGAGTTTGATTCCCAAGATTGAGAACCTTACGGATTTCCGAAAGAATTATGGATCTATTATTCCTCTTATGAAGCACAAGATGAAGGAGGGTATCCTTACTACGTTGGCCTAGTTCTATGATCTATTGTATCGATGCTTCACTTTTCCTGATTACCAGTTGATTCCCACTTTGGAAGAGTATTCTTATATACTTGGTTTACCAATCACCGACTGTGTTCCTTTCTCTGGTTTAGAAGGGGAACCCAAGTCTCATGAGATATCAGCAATTACCGACTTGAGGAAGTCTAAGGTAGAAGATAACATGAATACCAAGGGAGGAATCTGAGGCTTACCTGCACAATTTTTCGTGAAGAAAGCTTGTTACTTTGCCGAGATAAAGGATATTGTCGCCTTTGGAGCTGTCTTTGCTTTGCTTGCTTATTATTTTTCTTGTTCCCTAATATCGATAAGTTCGTGGATTTCAACGCCATTAGAATCTTTTTGATTGGAAATCCAGTCCCTACGCTGCTAGGAGATACCTTCTATTCCATCCATCTTCGGGATTCCTACCGAGGTGGTATGATTATTTGTTTTACACCATTGTTATACTAGTGGTATGTTTCCCATTTACCTAGGTATGATGTTTTTTGGGATCTCAAGAAGGAGCCATGATGGGCGCCAAAAATTATGGCTCTTACTCATTCCGACATTGATTGGTATAATCAAGGTTATTCTAATTTTAAGATCATTGATGGTTGTGGTGTTTTTCCCAATGTGCCTTATCTTGGTACTAATAGAGGAATTAACTACAATCATGTTCTCGCGCGCCGCCAGTTTGGATACCCAATGAAGGACAAGCCAAACAACATTCATCTGGGTGGTTTCTTTCTCCAAGAAGGAAAGGATCACAAAGCAGCTAAGGTGGATATTGAAAGAGCTTGGCGCCAAGTCCATAGAAAGGGAAGAGACATGTTAGGGCAGAGAGGTGATGTTTCTCCGGAGCCTTAACATCAATGGGTTCGTGCTAGGGATTGTGTTCTCAAGATGCCTTATTATCCAGAAAAACCTTTATTCCCTATTGCTACACCATCATCTATTGCCATTCCTATTGAGAACATGAAAGATTATCAGGAAAATCTGGCTAGAATGGAGTCTGAATGAGATGCTTGGAAGGAAAAATATAGTATATCTGAATACAAAAACAGGGTCCTGACTAAAAAGTTAAAGGAGAAGGAGGATATGATATTTATTTAAGATGGTTGTTTTATTTATTGTGATGAGAAGCTTCATCAGAAATGTGCTAAATAAAATATGAGAAAGAAGGAAGATTGATAGGAGTTACTCCTGTTCCTAATCCATGGAAGAAAGTTGTCTATCAGTTGGTAGCCGAGAAGACAGAGATGGAGGACTTCTATGAAAAGAAGATTAGGAAGCTCAAGTTACAAGTAGCATTTGGTCCTTCGTCCAATGATGATTCTGAATGATCATAGTCCCTAGATTTTATTACTTATGCCATTTTGTAAAACTCTTTAAAGGGCTTTTATGTTCCAAAGTTATAACCTTCTTCCTTTTATTAATGAAATAAGTTTTGTTTTTCCAAAGTTCTTTACCATTTTATGCTTGAAAGTTATCAAAGTTTTAAAGTTCCTTGAAAAACTATTAAAATAAATAATCATTTGGATTGCATATCATGCATCATTCAACATTCAACCTTACATGTTTTGTAGAGTCTTATTCTTGTTTCTTCTTCCACTATAGAAGATCGTCAATCTGTTTCACAAGTATAATAATCGAGCCAATCATCGAAAGAGAATGGAAGATCTAGAGAAAGAAAACCATGAGCTTCGCGAGGAGGTTACTACTCTTCATACTTGAATGGAAAATTGACCGCATTGGTGGAAAGCTTGATGGCTGCTCAGAATCAGCCATCGACATCGGCCACTAAAGCTCAAGCTCAAAATATTGCAGTTTCCGAGTTTGTTACTACTCCGGCCTATTTGGCTCAAGTCAACCATCGACAACATCAAATGCTGAAAGTTTTTTCACGGGGTATGCCTTATAATGTCACGCCAGAAGGCTACCAGCCTGCTGTGTAACCTGTGATTTAACCTATTGTATCTTTTCCTCAACCTGAGATGACTACTGTGAAACCTGTGATCCAGGCTATGGTATCTTTCCCTCAGCCTGAAATGACTATTACTGCTCTCGTGGTTCACACTATTCCATATACAAATGAACCCATTTTTCATGCTGAACCCGCTGCAAGTTTAGGCATCTTTGATAGGATGGAGGAATTCCAAGACCAATTCCAAGAAATGAAGAGGGAAATTATAGCACTTAAAGGGAAAGACTTGTTCGAGAAAAATGCTCACGACTTGTGTTTGGTCCCAAACGTGAAAATCCCAACTAATTTCAAAGTGCCGAACTTTGAAAAATACAAAGTTGAATCATGTCTGCAAAGTCACATGACCATGTATCTGAGGAAGATGTCCACCTATTCTGATGATCATAAGCTATTAATTCACTACTCCAAAGACAACTTAACTGGTGTCGCCCCAAAATGGTACATG